TTCCTGTGAGGGACTGTTGGTGCAGTGCACAACACTACACATCTGTGCTTCTTTGAGGTGTTTACCAAGTGACCCAAAGAGTGACTTCAGCATAGGAGGTTTAACCCTAACCCTCCTCAATCCTTCACCTGTTGGAGGACTGAGGAGTGTTAGGGTTAATGATAGCACTTGTCAGCCTTTCATGGTCTAGCATGGATAAAGTAAGGTTTAGACACTTATGTCTAATAGATAGACTCACCTTATACAATCATGAAAGATATCTTGGCATATACTGCATATGAGATTATCAGCCATTGCTTCCCCAGCAGAACCCTGGACATCTCCTCCCTCAGGTGTCACACCTGCTGGAGAATCAACGGCAGCTACTGAACTGTCAGTTGTTTTGTCATTAGCAGAAGGGGTGATTACTGGAGTCTCGTTGGCTGTTTCTGTTCCAGTGGGAGCAACAGCCTGTTGTTTAGCAGAGTCAGTGTCAGCAACACCCTCTGATGTCACATCCACACCAGTAGAATCAGAAGTCTGTGGCAGACTGTCTGCTAAAGACAGATCAACTCTGGGAAACAGAAAGAGAACACACCATAATCATCAAGCAAAGAACATAACCATGACAAATTCTCTATTTATGAAGATCGGAGTACAGGGTTTTGGCGTCAAAGACACTTAAACCACTCAGCAACATCACAGTGCTTATGTAATTTACCGTGGTATCAAACTTCAACAAGCATAAAACCCAACTGGTTGATTTTCATTATGCCTGAGGAAGAGACCAGGATGGTTGAAGTCCCCAGCCGAGCATATCTCGAAGGTTTCTCTTCAAAGCTCTCACACCAAGCCCAGTATCACTCAATCTTTCAATTTACCTTGGTTGTTCTCGAGGCTGAGAGGGCTGATCCAACTGCTCTTCTTGGCTGGTGATGTCAATTTTAGGTTTCTTGGCTTGTTCTTCTTCAATCTCTGCTGAGGAATCCACTTCACAGACCGCTCGCTTTGTGGGTGTGCTTGCTGTCATTTTCACGTCATACTCTTGTGTACACTCTTCATCACTTTCTAAACATGCCAATCAAGATGGGTAAAAGTCCAGAACAAAGGCCTAATTACAAGCAATAAAACATTCAAATGAAATAGGATGCCGTCTTTGGTGTAAAATCTTCAGAAATCTTCTCAATCTGTTATTAATGTTCAGTACACAGTAAAAATACAAAGTACAAAGCAGACGGGTTACTATGGATATTTGGACACTGACATTCTTCTAATCTAGACATATGCAGCACATTTGGTTACAGCCCACGCCGTTACTCATGATTTCGCCACAGGTTTAGAATGGACACAGACAGTCTGCGGTAATAACATAAAACAACAGAAAAATATGTGGCTATATAATTTTGGAAGGATCCTTCTGTTATGTAACTGATCCCTCTGTGTGGACCAGTCATATTACATATCAAGCTGTGGCGTACAGATCCTAATCATTAGATGCAGCACCTGTCTCAGAGTCATTAATTACCTGGGTCATCATTCACTTGGGTTTCATCAAGGAGTTGACTGAGGTCTTGAAACATATAAGCCACATCTAAGATTCAAGAAGATCATGAAAATAGCTTTACTGATGTGAATACTAGAACTAAATGACCTGCAGTTAAAATTGTTCAATAAAACAAGTAGAAAATTAGAGAAATTATGGGGGCACAGAAAGGTGTTTCAGTTTTTACAAATAAGTCCAAGACTGCAAGTACCTCGGCTAATCCTGTGTGCTTACAAATTACAATTAAGGAGCATATACTTACTTTTAGTTGGGTCATCTTTTTTGAAGACCAGAAAGATTTCATCACCATGCTGGAGTCTCTGAATATTGCCCTTCGTTACTCTCACCTTTCTGCTTGATGTAGAGATTAATGTTCCATTGGTACTGCAAAGAAGTGTGATAAAGTTTATGATCTTATCTTAACATTTAACAATCTTTAGAAAGCACAACTGATTTTGTTTTTAATACAACTACTGAAACTATTTCATATTTATGTACATCAGACAAGTAAGACAATAAAATATTCACCTTAAACCTGTGGCATTAATACTGAAAAATTGTTCAATCCTCATGTTAATCACTGTTGGAAAACAATTCCATAAAGACACCACAAACATTTTCACATTCTTTGTGCTTTGAATAAAACTGGGCAGACTTTAAAATACTGAATCCAAATTTGCCGCATAGAATTTTGGCTGATTCAAGGTCACTAGGGAAAAGACAAACCAATTCAGTATTCACTGAATCCTCTCACTAGACAAATGTAGTTTTTATTTGCAAATCAAAGAAAGTGAGTACAAATTACAAACTAATCAAAACTATATCAAAGACAATGAAAACCCCATACTCTACTAAGGGGTCATCCAGTTTTGTCATTTTCGCCAACGTACAAACCGCGTGTTGAAGGAGGGGATTAATTGGATGCTTACGCTTTAGAAACATGTTCAAAATGACCATTATGAAAGACCGGCCATAGTTTATGCCTCCCACTGCTATATGCATGAGGTACGGTTGTAGTTTCAACTTCTGTTGCAGTGCCCACATGTGCAGGATGTTTAACATGGTTCCAGAACAATCGCAATGGATGATATGATTGAAAATAATCCTCATGTAAAGAAACCGGCCCATGCTCGTGCGTGCGTGCAGTGCCTAATGGACAATGATACCTATCATGTGTTTCTTGACAGTAGCAAGTTGAATTATGAGCATACCAGGTTAGGCATGCAATTTTGACAAAAACAAGGAAATTTCACTCTTCACAAGACTTTGTACAGCGTTGTTTTCCATTTTCAATGGCATGAGTGTGAATGAATAACGAGGAAATCAGCTGATTGGAGGAAAAGTTGCATGCCTGGAGGTGACTTGCTCTGATGTCATGGATGTTGTCTTTCCTCTTGCCACTAATCTTTGGTCGTCCACAGCAGACTTATAAGTGTACATGTATATCCTCAGACATCATAGAGAAATCATCATATTTTGTTCATTCCTTATGTCCTGGGGGGGGAGGCCAAAAGAGCACTCTTCGAAGGCTTGTGAAAATGATGACAAAAATGGATGACCCCTAAACCAATAGAAACTTGGAAACACTTCAACATTTGCTACAGGGAAATGGTTTTGATTTTGTCCTGTATTCACTCTTTGCAAGACCATTGAGAGGAAAAATTTGCAGGTACATTATACAAGCTGTTCAGAATAATCTTCACGTCGATAATGGTAGGCCTCCCCCATAAAGGAGAAAATGTCTGCATCCGCTCCAAGTGGGAACAACAGAGGGTGTGTTTTGACATAAAAATACCGGTCCTTTGGCAGAAATCACCCCATGAGCGCATAGATTTATGCGCATCTGGTAAGGGCGACAGTGAACATGCGCAACCAATTTGAATGGGACTGTAAAAGCTTATTGTCTTTGCGTGTGTGCCGGGCACATATTTGCAAGATCCCAGTTGAAAAACTTTCTCCCAGCCGATCTGTCCTTGGCCAGTGAGGGTGCACATCAACTCAGGGGAGATAGCAAGTGCATGTACATGTTTATCTGTCAAGGAATGGAAAATAAAACATGACCTATTTTACCTAGTGTCTTTCAGTAATACCAAGCCATCTTCGTTCCTTGTCAAGACACAATGCTGGCCTGATATCAATTTGTTCTCTGGCAAACTGAGATTGCAACCTATGAACAAGAGGGAAAAAAGTCATACGATTTTGTAAGGTGCAATGCACATCAACCATGTAGGCTAGGCCTAACCACTGAACATGTACAGTATACACAGGGTGTATCAAAAAAAGTATTCAGTCAAAAATTAACAGGTGTGCTGTCTCCGACATGCTGAGAAGGGCACAAATCTGTGAGGAACGAAATGGTGGTCATGTGGAGGACTAAATGGATGAAGTACATGTAAATGATATTTATTGAAGCACATACATTTTACCATACTTGCTTTTCTGGACTTTTGATCCAATTCTGAACAAAGTAAGTGTTTGCGCAAGCCAGTTTTTGACTAATTTAGGAAAATAGCTCCCGGTCACTCAGGCATGAAGATCTGTTCATGATCACAAGTTTAATAACAGCATGATACTCTAATCAACCCATGTAGGAGAAGACATTTTCAAAAAATGTTCACATTTTTATTTTGCAGTTAATTTCTGACTGTATACTTTTTAAATACACCCTGTACAGGCTATTAATTATGTTCAATCTTACAAGCTACAGGGAAACTTTTTCTGTCATCTTTTGACGGGCCCTACATACAACTTGATTAATCAAGTAAACTCAATTCAGTGGCAGTCATTCATGCCATAACCAAATGACATCAGGCCAACAGTACAGGGTCTGGGCCCAACGTTTTCTCCGCTCCTTCGTTCGTGGGAGCACGGGGCGGCGGGCCGGGGCGGATGGGTCACCGTACCTACCTAGTACCTCCATGACTACACCAACTGTAATACACGTGTAATGTATTCTTCTGGCAATACCCTGGACTGCAAGTGAACTGCATAGCCTGAAGGGCCTACCTTGAGCTCTTCCTATGGTGACTTTCTCTCCACAAATGGGCAGAGTAGGCGCGTCCAGGTCCGTGGTGCACACCAATTGCGCCCACTCTACACCCTCCTTGCACAATATCGACATTCCTCTTGCGGGCTAAATGGAAATCTGAAGTCAACTGAAAATTAAAAGACTACTGTTCATGATATTTGTTACTAGGTACCCAGCGGAAGAATTCTAACGTCTCTGGGCGCCATGTAAATGTCCCGAAAGAGCACACATGCATGTAGGCACTGGGGACAGCTGAATGGACATGTACGAACACGCGCGCAGCTAGCTAGCTGGCTTGCCATGCCGCGCCAGGGGGCCGGGCTTGCAATACATACACCAAATACGCGCCCATAGAAAATAGTATATACGTAAGGGTTATCACGAGTGACGTCTGTTTGGGTCGTGCTCAAGCAAAATACTCCATGGACCACCGTGGTGACATCACAGAAATGGCGTCCACAGTAATGTTGAATAAAGCCTGGGCTAGACTGGTAAATGACCTGACATCCATGGATAATAGTCACGCAAGGTCATCCTCGTCTTGCCCTCGCCGCATAGTATTACACAAATCAAATCTGATGTAGTCTGGGGAACGACACCCAACATTATTGCACATCCAGACAGCGGGAATTTCAACGGTGAAACGGGATTTGGCAAGTGCGATCGTTGCTCGACATTAGCGCACAACATAGATCGACATGCTCGACGCAGGGACAAGGTGAAATTTAGACAAGATTTAAGCCGGCAACAGTGTGTTTCTTTTTTTTTCTTTTACCTGGCTAACTTACCCATTTTAGGTGTGTTCGACTCCAGTGTTACCCCCCAATCGTTTTCTTTGTCGAATGTATTTTTTCCGTCTATGATCGCCGACATTATTTGTGATAGATTGAAAAGATACGTATCGGACAGGATTCGAACCCGTGAGGGCAATGCCCAATGGATCTACAGTCCATCGCCTTAACCACTCGGCCACCGACACTCACGTTTAATCACTGAGTAATTTAAAGTATATATAGGTGATGATTTTGAAATATCCGACCCCCACGTCGTGTCATATGGTAAAAAATATCACCACGGATTATTCGTAAAATTGTGCATAATGCTGTATATTACTTTGAATATTTTTGAAACAATTTTTTTTTTGGTTTTGTTTGTTCGGTTTGGATTTTTTTGGGAGGGGTGTGGGGGAGGCGGATTTCCAGCAAGATCACAGCGGGCTGAACCCAGCGTCCACTGCATGCAGACAAAATCAAGTTGAAAGGTAATTTGTTTTAAGTAGTGGATATGATAGCCATTGCAATTCTCCGTTCCAGCTCTGATTAAGTGAATGAATTAAAATGATGGGTTGGACTTTTCAGGGAACGAGAAGGACCATGGACCCCAGCATGTGCATGAAAATTATTTCCTGTTTTTCCATCGTTCCCCACAGGGCTATATATATATCCTGTGTCTGTGTTTAGTTTCTGAAATGTAGAAAGAGAGATTTTAATTTATTATTTCATTTAATGAGGCTTTTGGTGGGTCGTACAGTACAAAACATCAGTAAAATGGAAATAGAAAAGATTGTATTAATTTGTCATAGATTTTGAAAATACCATTCGCCAGTTTGAACCTGGCAATTTCACGAATAATTCTGTCGAAACATAGTGCACTGTGTTAGAAAGGATTCAATTCGTGCTTATTTAATCGTACATGTAGCTAAGAATAACAATAAAGAAAATTCTCAGCCTTGACACTTTAACCAACAGGCGAAAAGACCATTGCCAGAGTTTTGCAAAACAGATCCTGTCCAGTCCCCGTACCAAGGCATTGTTTCCCCTTTCTTGGCTTGGTAAGAATTTGCGAAACAGTAAAAGCATCACTAGAAACCGTTTTAAAAACAGCCCAATTCCCTACTTCAATTCATAGCGTGGCTGGTACACCATTCTAATTGATTTGTCCTTGAGTGTTTTGGGGTTTTTGTGCTCATTATAAACGTCATGTAGAGTCTTTAGTTTTTGTAGTCTACCGATAAATAAATGTATTTGTCCCCATTGTTATGCCTTCTTTTGTAACTGTACAATTAAATGAAACAATATTGTAATTAATGTAATGAAACATTTTATGTAATTTATATTAATGTTGTAATAATATAATTATATTGATGTATTTTTTGTAAATTTAATTTTTATTTTGTACATTCAAATGGAATTCGGCCTCTGGGCCGCGAAGATCGAATGATTTTAAATAAACAATAATGATAACAATAATACTAATAAAAATGACCAAAGAATATAAATCATTTGCCGTGAATTTATTGAATGAAAACAATTTCTCTCAGAAAATTCCTTTGAACGAAGGGAAATAAAACTGCTAATGGATCCTATATTAATTGTTCTTTGTGTTGGTATTATTTTTTTGCAAAAAGGGGAACCAATCCATGCAATTAATTGTTTTCAGACTCACTTTTTGTGCATCTTGCTACTCTTCTTAACTTTTGAAAACTGTTAGTAATCCTTTTGGAGTAATGTATATTGAAAACGGCACTTTTCTAGTATTGTCCAAGACGATTTACACACACATGTGCATGTACATCACAGCAAAAGCGCCCTCACTTCCCGGAACAAGTGAGGGTACTTTTGCTGTGATGTAAACCTGGGAAATTCTACCTTTTTCCATCCTAAAATGAAAAAATGAAGTGGGAGGGAGAAGATGGATAGAGATAAGAAAAACGGCTTTCCTTTTGAAGGAACTGACTGGAGAAGGTATATAATTAAAACGTTTAAAATAACCAAGGCTTAGGACTTTTCGTCACGACCTGTGAACACAATAGACAAGATAAGAATAATACAGTCTGGTATAAGTTCACAAGGACTACACAGTTTCACAGTTCGACATCCAAAATAGTAGATCGCAGAGGAGGAACTTGAACCTGACAAGTTTAAGATCCAAGGGCAAAGGCTTTTCTTTGTGCTTGAGACGCTGATCGGTATGTGTTGGGCTAAAAAGAAATGATGCATGCAAAATCACTTTATGACAACTACAGGTGAGCTTGATTGGATTATTTTTTTTTACTTTGATAGTTCAAATCCCAAACCGTCCACGACTCAAGTACATTTACGTATTCCCAAATACACTTTGTTGAATGTGCTATAGATGTCAAATTCGGATGCAGCTGTAGCAATAGACTGCGTTTGCTGTGGGAGGTTGCACCATCGCTGCACCTGACCATCATGGGGCGCACTGCACTAATTCAAGCCCATTGAAAAGTGTAAAATCAACAAAGTTCCGAGTTGGAGCCCCGTTGCGGGCAACCGAAGTCCCAGAGGCCTCTCAAACAAAAATAATGTGTTGTCGGGTCCTTCAGATGTAATTGATTTAAAAATTTTAGCAGATTAACTAATTAGATTTCAAATTATCCGCCGGAAAAAGTTAACCATCCTAAGTCTGTCAGCAGCCATTTTTACACGACATCCCTCTACTCATCACTTTTTCAGGCTCTTCGGACAAAGTTTCAATAGCATTTTTGTCTTCTTTGCCCTCTGATGTGGGTCCCTGAATCTAGGGAGTTGATCCTGGGCCATTTTTACACAATCCCAAAATTTTGCAACAAAAAATATCCTCTTTTCAAAAGAAACTGCCGGGGTATGAAATACTCCGGGCAAAGCCACGAGCCCCAAATTTTCGATTTAAAGGAAAAAGACTAGGTCACAGGGCAACATGGTTAAATTGACTCTACTGCGTGGATTGCAAGCAAGGGGGAATACCCCTTCTGAGTCTTGTTACCGCCGCCGAATATCGCACAAAATATATCGGAACTAGTCTGGTGAACGGAACTAAAACATTCGGGTAAACAATGTACCAGGCGGGAAATCAAACGTGTAATGATTAGGGGAATTCCAACTAGAAGTTTGTCCTCGGTGTGCGTTGCAAATTTGCGTGTTTCAATTTGGCAATTTTTATAGTGAATACGTAATTAAAATTCCAAAGCTTTCGGCAGGAAGTGAATTTGGACGAAAAGGACCGAATGGTCCAGCGTACAGACCCTGAATGACGTCTAGGTATAGGATTGTTTTGCCTATGCCCGGCGAACTAGTTTGAACCTGCTCGCTACGACCTTCACCCTTCGACGTGCAGTTTCATGTAGCCCGGAGGAGTGATCAGGCTCGACGGTATGAGATTTTAGACAATATGATCCTTTTTTTGTCTTCATTTCTTTTACCTGAGAATGTTGCCCGTTTGGGGGGTGTCTGATTTGAGTTTTCCTCATTCTTTCATTTTTTCCTGATTTGGTATGCAGTATTTGCTGGGATTTCAAAAGGCATCCGCATCGGACGGGATTCGAACCCGCGAGATTTTAAGTCCACCGCCTTAACCACTCGGCCACCGATGCTGATCATCTTTATAACGTATTTAAAGTATATATAGGAGAGAATTTCGTAATTTCACCCTCCCTCATTACCTAAACGGCGTGTGATGTATCGCTATGGATTAATTCTTAATTCGTGCAATTTGTAATTTTCCATTTTATTTATTTGGTTACAATACAATGTTTGTTGTAATTGTTTTGGCAAATAAATTTAGCAATGTAGGCCTCATACCTCGGTGCGTTTCATACCATATCCAAATATTTCGTTGCCATTTTTTCAACAACAGTAGCAGTCGGTTTTCCAGAAGATTCAAAGATCACGCTTCAAAAATGTTTGTTCTTACTTTAATTGTAGTCTGTTTTGTCAGCTGGACAGTCAACTGATTTTTCCTGCATTTCTTTATCCACTCTTTACTTACTTTTTTCCTCTTAAAAAACCAAGGCCTGTTTTCTGTAGTTCTGAAAGGAATTTGACTTCACAACAAAAAATATTAGACAGGGCGGTGGAGATGTTCCTCGATCCTTTTGAAAGAACCGAATAGATATGGTACAAAAATAAAAACGATGATAAATTACATATTACACAAATTAAGAAATAATGCAAGGCGATTATCACACGTTGTGTAGGGGGGAATTACGAAATTCTAAACTATAAATAGTCAAATTACTAGTTTAGAAATTCAGCAGCACCGGTGGCCGAGCGGTCTAAGGCGTCAGAGTTAAGTTCTGTTGGGCGTTAGCCTTCGCAGGTTCGAATCCTGCCCGGTGCGAATGTCTTTTGAAATCCCAGTAATACTGGGGAAGGGAAAAACAAATCAGAGAGAGGGAAAATTTGAATCAGACACCCCAATAATGGGTAACATTCTCAGGTAAAAAGTAAGAAAGACGAAAAACAGATCATCTCATACCCTCAAGCCTAAATCAGTCCCCTGGGTTACATGAAACTTGAACGTCGAAAGGTGGAGGTTCGTGTTCATGTCGAGCCGGTTCGAACTGGCTTGCCGGCCGATGATAGGCAAAACGGTCCTACTACGGTGTTCAGTGCCCGCACGCTGGACCGCACGGTGCGATTGTTTCGTCCCAAATCATTTCTTGCCAATGGGGGTTTGTTTTTTAGGTGTTCACTATAAAAAATTTCAAATCAAAACGCTAAAGTGGGAATTCCCTTATCACTACCAGTTGGATTTCCCGCCTAGCACAACGTTTTTCTAGTGCCGTTCACCAAACTAGTACGGGTATGTTTTGGCGATATTCTGCGGCGATAGCAAGACGCCGAAAAGGGTATTCCCCATTTCTTTTCAATCCACAGGCTACAGAGTGAATTTACCCATATTGCCCTGCGGCGTAGTCTTTTTTTTCGAGTTTACTGGGAAATCGCGTAACTGAATGTTTAAAAGCATACATTTATGCACTTGTATTATCTCCCAGACCTAATAACGGGCCACAATGCATGTGACCAGTAGGATAGCCTTTAATGGGGGTGTATTATTGTCCGAAGATATCAATAACAAATTGTCGAAAATATTGCGGACGATAAAACAGCTTTACTGGAGGCTAAACTCCAATGCCTCATGGGACGGTTTGCGCTGCGTGTTGTACTTATTATAATGGAGATCAATAAAACACAATGTAAAATAACGTCACGTAACCATGCGCGTGACCTGGGGTCATACGTACGCGTCGTCTCAAAATCAAGGCTAACGTGGTTTCTGTTAATAAACAGAAACATGGGTCGCTTAGGCCTACATGTAGTTAGACGTTTGTCAAATTCAGGGGTTTAAACATATTTGACACCGAATGCCGGAGCTGAAGATGAAGACAAGTACCGACGTGACGGAATTCAACACAAATTGGTAGACTCCTATGCGCGAGCTTATTCATAATTTCCCAAAGAATCGACATCATTCCCTCTTGTTCCTTTTTTTTTGGCTCCTGAATATTGAAATAATAAATGCTTATTCATTTATTTAATGAGGCTTTTGGTTCGTCATAAAACATGGAAAAAAACTTGTTAGCGAATTTCACTTCAGTACATATAATATTAGACAGGCCGATGGATATGTTCTTCGATCCTTTTGAAAGAACTGAATAGAGAAGGTATGTACATGAATACGTGAAATGGTTGATTTGATTACCGGTGGTTTATACATTTTAAGAAGTTTATTTCACGTTTCCACTCTTCATCTTACCACCTGTACCGTAGAAAACGCCCGTTTTTTCCTCACAGATGTTGAAATCATTATATGAACTTCGCAATATTTTATCATTTTCGCACATAAGGTGCAGGGTATGTGAGGAAATTTTATTTCTGCTGGTTGGATATTTTATTTACAAAAATATAGAGGCTAACCCATGTCAAACTTTGGAATGACCTACGGACACACGCTACAATTACCGGCATGGACTTTGGATCATGAGCTTGTACAAATTCACAAAAACTGTTGATCACTGTTAGAGCTTGAGCAGTCTACGCCTGGACTTGTAACCAAGAAAATCCAAGAAGTTGAACCCAATCAAGTTTAAGATGCAAGGGAAAAGTCTGCTTTTTCTCCTTGCGATACTGCTCGGGACGTGTTGGGCTCTAACGAAATGCTGCATGCAAAATTGGTTTGTGACAGCTAGAGGTGACCTTGATTGGATTAATTTCTTTATTTGCATTTCCGAATCGCAAACTGTCCATGACTCAAACACGTTTACGTAGTCCGATCCAAACTAGACTAGGCTGGAGAGTGCTGGACATCGTGGGGCGCTGAAATGAAGGCATGTCTGCCTAGCAATACATATTATAAGGTCTTGAAATCCTTCAGATTTAAGGGGTGGATAACACAATCTAAAAGGAAAATACGTCTCTTTCAAATCTCCTTTTTTTTCAATTACTGGAGCAACGGCTTTTGATTTCATCATTAATCGAATTGGGCAGCTATTGACTGCCAATGAAATTAACAGAGGGACGAGTGGTACTGGGGCCTCTACACGCTTATTATAGACTGCAAGAAGGTAACTCATCGACGGATTTCATGCGGGGGCTTTGTCTATGAATTCTGGCCCCCTTTTTTCCAGTGGTTTTTTATTTCCAGTACGAGGATGGGGGATGAGTTAATCAAATTCAAAAACAGCGCGGTCGTGAAAATTCAATTGAAGGGGAGGGATGCTGGAAACCGCATGGCAGCAGGGGGCGCTATTCGTGTTACAAATGTACATCTCGTGTATACTTTCGGATCAGAGTGACTTTCTTTTTAACGGAAGAACATTCTCTCCGTTTTGATATGAATTAGAAATGGAAACATTCTGAGTCTGACCCACTGCATGATGAATGGATTTGAGAAGTAGGCTTGGTATAGGCTTTATTTCCGTATAGAAATAAATTTTGGTCTACATCTGACACTTTCCCGTAGTTTCAAATGAAAGTTTTGAGACCACTTGATTGGATTCTCCTTAGCACAATGGTTGAATATGAAGGGATGGTATTTGGTATTACCTCATAAGCTTGGGGTTAGACCTGTGGGCTTTATTTGTTGGAAATTTTTGTGGATTTATACATGGTGTCAATGAAGCACTGCCTAAGTGAAACATTAATTCAGTACTGGAGTAAAAGGCGTATAAACAGACCCTTTCTCCAAAAGGGAGTTTTCACATTAAAAAGTAATCCGAAATGTTATCTTTATTGCACAGTCAAGCACCAGACCGTGCCCTGGACGCGCTGGTACGACTTGGCCATACAGCTATTGACGTTGCTATTGACGTCGCAGGCTTCCGCCAAAGGGAAATGTAACTAAGCAAGAACAGTGCAAGAGTTCTTTCGGAGAATGGGCAATAAACAACGGAGAAATATTTCCCGCTGACTGCCAAATGTTTTCACACGTGCGAATTAATGTGGGATAGTGATAGTATTTAAAGCAATGGAAAAACGTTATGCACATATTTCAACTCTAGGGACTTCCGTTTTAACCTGTCCTTGGGAACGCTTCGATAGTAAATGTATTTTACTGTATGTATGGTACGATATTTGTCAGGCACGTGTTCAGTTTCCATAAAATAATATGCCATAAGTACGGACTCACCTTTTCGAAAACGATCTTTTTTAAGGAAGTTGAAAGCTCACCAACAACATGCAGTTTTCATCAAATAGTGTGTGTGTTTTTGAACAACGTTTTGATGGCAGTTAAAGTTAATAAAAAATCCCCCAAACTACCATCTCTCATGTCAGAAGTGCATGATTTTCCTGTTACGAGGCTACATGCAAAGTCCCGCCCCTTCCCCAATTCACTTTCACTATAACTCAGATGAACTGTACGAGTCTGACAGCTCAAATCACTTCCTGAAAAACTCCCCAGACTCAAAACTTAGACTTTATAATGAAATGCTTCATCGAATGAAGGTTAGCTTGTTAATTAAATAAAATCCCATAGGTATACTTTCAACTGTCGACTTGATAAACTATTTTGGTTTTCATGACTTTTTGTACTGTGCATAAATTTTAAAAGAGTCTTAGAGTTAAAATTTTCAAAATCACAAGAATTTTATAGGAAAGAGAAAAGAGAAGGACACACGACTAGGAATAATCGTTTGGGAAAGACAATCGCGATAAAGGTCAAAATTTTAGTAGGAGAGTGGGGACAGTGTTTATGAGTATCCGATTATTTGGGAGGATTTGCTGGCTGAGTAGTTAGGCGTTTGGAAATGGTGGTTTGTGTTAGCAAACGCTTTTATCTCTGACATTCGGTTGGTTCAATTCATGGAATGAATCGAGGTACAAACACACCCTATTTCCTTTGCTACATAACGGATGAAAAATGACAAAGGTGGGCTTAAATAATCCCGAAACACTAACAGATAATACTAAATAGTTTAAGTTTGTTTGAGCCAAGTTTAAAAAAATAAACAAAATAAATCTATCCGAGTCACTGTGGTTGAAAAATTCTTATTAAATGTTCATAAAAAGAATTGTGTCAGGTTTGTTGAAATAATATACAGTAGGATACTGTGAAATGAGTCATTTAAGTTTCATTTCCTTTTTTAGCTTGAAGGAACATCAGTAACAACTCTGTTTATACTGATCCGTTGACTTTTCCTTTCAATATAAAAACAGACCTCTAGATTGTGACCAATCAAGAGGTGTCTGTTTTGGCCAATCAACGGGCTTTATGTGACCGATCTGCGCGGCAGTGTCTCTAAAGTCTGCCTATATATTTTCGCGAAAAATAGCACCAGATATGCAAATACGACACTGGCGTAACAGGATCTTCTGGAAAGAGCCCTGTCACCATAGCTATGACGTCGACTGACTGCATCAACCTCGGTGCCGTTTTTACTTTAATTAAAGATGGTTCCGATTGGTTGGCACACGGTGAAATAAATTTGCATGGATACCTTATTCAGGATAAATTGGTGGGAGCGGGCTATTGAGCACATGACATTTGGTTGCAGACTTACAGCTGATCAGTTTAACTCTCCGTCTTCATGCTCAAGTGAGTTTTTGTCAATCGGCGATCATACTTACTATGGCAAACATTCCTGGTGTCTCAGCTGATGCGACATCCTTAAACTCGTCGTACCCACAGTATAATTACGAAGCTCGAGTCGCTCTGGCTGCATTCTGGATTCTTTTTACGATCGCAGGATTCACGGGAAGCAGTCTCGTGATCTGGTCGGTCGTCTTGTCCAAGAAGCTACGTACCGTGACCAATGCCTTCGTGGTCAACCTCAGCGTTGCCGATTTCTGGACGTCCCTGTCCTACCCGTGGTTGGCTGTGGCAGGACTAAGTACCACTAGCTGGCCTCTGACCTCTGAGATTCCCTGTCGAATTGCAGCTGTCCAGTTCGACACCGGGTTCGGTGCAAGCCTGTATATCCTAGCAGCCATAGCGGTAAATCGTATGGTGATGATTACCCAGCCCATCGATATCTACAGGTGGCTTTACACTCCCCGTAAAGTTGCTGTTATGATCGCAGCTACCTGGATCCTACCCTGGATGGTCGTTGGTATTCCGCCGCTATGTCAAGCCGGTCAGCTTGGATTCGACATAACAACACGCTCCTGTTCAATCATAGAATCAGATGAAAACAGTGCTAGTTACAAACTAACCCAGACCCTTGGCATGTACCCAATACCAATGATAATCATCATCAGTTCCTACACGGCCTTGTACGTCAACATCAGACGTCACTTCAAGCAGCAAAGGAGACGGCACGTTATAACTAAAACCCCTACTGTTGAGATGGACCTGAGTGATTACTGCAAGACTGACCCAAGTAGGCAGTCGTTAGGTCCAACCATCAGTTCCATGTCCAAAAGCAACATTCAGGCCATCAAACGTCAACAGTTGGCAATCACCAAGAACCTGTTCCTGATATGCCTAACATTTACTTTACTCGTCTCGCCTTACTTCTTATCCCTTGCTGCTCCGCATAGTTCAGGCTTTACTCCTTTCGCTGCTGCCATCGCTACGATTAACAGCTGCGTCAGTCCCATCATCTACACGTGTAATCACCCTGATTTCAAAGTTATTTTCCCCAAGATGCTCAAGTGCCGCTATTCGGAAATACCCGAACCTTCGGACTTTCTGAAATATTTTCTCTCGCGACGAAAACCTGGCAACTGACAAACTGGTTAGTACAACGTATTTTCTTTCGTAAACCCTTCCTCAAGCGGTTCAAGTCCATATCTTTAAGGGGATAAAACGTTTCCATCTATCGGGTACCCAAGATGTTTTAGGAATGATGGTTCATATTATGTTTGATATTTTTACTTCAGCCGCACGTGTCCACATACAGTGCAGGTATTTTCAGGTCTGTTCATTTTTCTGACCATTCGACTGAAAATTAAATACCAAAGACAGAAATAAAAGCAGGGCTGTTATTTCATAAAAAAAGCAAAAAATATGTTTCTGTTTTGTTTTGTGCATTTCAAATTTATTGTTTTTCTTTCTTTGAAAGTGCAGTTTTATACAAACACAAGTCAGTTTTATACAAACTCAGTGCATTTAATCAGAATGTTTCCTGTTTTCATTCCTAGAAAAACCAAAGACACGAACTTGAAAGAAGAATTTTTAAAATGTTTGCTGGTTGATTAAATTGAATGCTTGACCAGCTCCTTTCAAAGGCTTCCGACGAATTAGAATAAACTTTTTGAAACAAATGACTGATCAAATAATGAAACTAAATAATACTTTTGATATTCGAATGTGGATACAAAGCATGCAATTTAAAATGAATTTGAATTCGTTGCGCAAAATTCAACGATTTTTGAATGCATGTGACCGTCAAAATTTCCACGTGCTGAAAAGAACATGAGAACGAATGCTTAATCTAAAGAAACTGGATTGTTCCCCATAATTTTGGCATTTTTCTTGTTCATCTCTTCGTCATACATGTGTAACCAAAATTGTGTAATTACGCAAAACATTTTTTCAAAATGTAGACTCTATCAATAATTCACTGGATTTGACGAATGATGACAGAATGTTTTAAACTACCTGAATTGAATGAATCCAATTTCAAATTGGCCAGGAAAAGCGAAAGCAATTAATGACCAGCGGAATCGAACTCAAAACTAATTTCAAACTGAACTTAAAATGCTTTCACGAGTATGCTTATTATCAGAGGTTTCTAGGATAATTGTATTGTACACCGCAGCCATCTTTCTAGATTCTGGATGAGAATTAGAGGTGTACGGCTTCGGTTCCATAATTCTAGGTTGTTTAAATAATTCAGTCAAGGGAGAGGCCAGCATGCCTTCATATGCAAACTGTCGATAAGTCTCTATGCTTTTGACAGGTTTTTAATTATAAGTCTGTGAGCCACAATTAAATTGTTTATTATAAAGGATTTTAAAAATCTCATGAAGGCTTTGTATGTACATTGTACAATAAACATATCTCTGAAGACTTAAAAAGATTATTAAGGTTGTAGAAGACATAATTGTCTCAGTTGAGAAACGCCTTCTATATAAACGGATATATGCAGATATCTAAACGAATAATCAGGATGAGAAAGAAAGGTTTTGCTCCGTGTATGATAACCCGACTATTGAATAAGAATATAGTTCTAGTATATTTGATAATTTAGGACCATTATGTTTTGTGATCATTACTTGTAATATATCGGAGAAATATGTTCTAGAGGTTTTTTACAAGTTATATTATGTTAAATAATATTTTAGAGCGGAGAAGAAGCGAAATGCATAAAATTGCACTATACACATTTTAGCCTCATCTCTCGTCTGCTCACATCAATAATAATGTTGCTTGCGTATATACATGTATCCTTGACAACTGGTTTAGATTTCTGTCAGCTGTAAACGTATATGTGTTGTTCTTATTTCTTCCTGGTTGAGATTCGTGTGAAGGTAGTGTTTAAATATGCTTACCAAGTAGAAGAATTACCTTCCGTAAAAGTATGTTGAAAATTTGAAGCTTTGAAGTGTAATCAATAAAACAATAAATCCTTACTGCATTCCTAAAAAATCTTAAATAAGCAAACCCTCACGAGCTAACCTCTGAAAACTGATGGCAAAAGGATTCACTTTACACTCAACAATCTTCCCAAGTTATGCAATACATGACATGTAAGTTATGGCTCCAAAAGGAACTATAAAGTTTTTGTCTGATTTTTTCATTCACATGAAAACAACAATGACGCCTTTCAAAGAAAACTAGAATTTACTCTGCATTTCCGCAAAACTTCCTGAGAAAATGCACATGACCCTGGAATTTTTTGAAGTCACTTTGAATCTGTCATATATCTGACATCTATATTTTCTGTTTTGCCACTCAGTCTTTGTAGAAATTTTAAAGTTTCAATTCAGTTCATTGTCACCTTTATTTCCACACTTCCATTACATACAAATGTAACATGCACCAGGAATTGAATACATAAAGAAATGTTAAACTTATAGAAATAATCTTGTGCTAAGCCAAACATTTGTATGCAGAAAAATACAATGTACAAACGTTAATGGCCTCTTGCCCTGCTTGACTCATCCTATTTTGACCAGGTACAATTTCATACAAGGAAAAGAGAGAGAAAGGTGACAGGTTCGCTGACACAGGGCAAGGGGATTGAGTATTCCACATACAATATCGATGAATATTTTGACAGACACAGAGCAGGGGATTGAGTACTCCACAGATATATCTATCGATGAATATTTTGACAGACACAGAGCAGGGGATTGAGTACTCCACAGATATATCTATCGATGAATATTTTGACAAACACAGAGCAGGGGATTGAGTATTCCACATACAGTATATTAATATTAATGAGTATTTTAACATGCTCACGGTCAGGCAGTCTGATTCATTGGAATGTCCAAATCAGAAGAAACATAGAAACAACACCCAAATGAAAGCTGGTACAAAAAGCAAGCCTTAAACATTCCAAAAGAAAAAAAATCTTATACCGTTGGCCAAGTCTGCCCTTCAGCCTACAATGTTGCCTAAAATCCAACAAACAGCATGGCAGTTACAATAGCGAACCAGATCCGTTTATGTTGCACAAGTATTGGAACAAAAGGACAATGCAATTAGCAATGATCCACTGCATATTCAATTCGTCAAAAACCCTGACGTTTCTTTAAAACAGAGTTCAGGTCAAAGATGCTTGTTATGTTGCCGTGTTGATTCTGTCAAGTTGAACGTTGTCAGTTTCATTCTGTTGTATGCATTGTCAATTTCTACGAATATCACAATGGATAGGATTTAAACCCCATTTAAGCGTGTTAATTTCATATACGCACCTAGGTGAAACAGGGGTTTCAGCAATGTCTTCACTTTTAGAGCTTCTGACGTCCTATTAGTTGATTAGAGACATCTGGGAATCAACAGGTCTTGGAACCAGACTAATGAAACATGACATCGGTAATTATTTGGATCATACATGTCATATACATTTGTATATCGATGTTTCTATGAAACTGTGCTACATTTAAACAATTTGATCTTAGGAATATTCGATCAATAATTATAGTTGGATTAATGAATATTGACGATAAAGAAAGAGGTCTGAAGAAACAAGCAATGGTTACTCACCTCGAGCGATTACAACACAAAATTAAAAATGAAATAAAATTAATTCCATAAATAAATAATTACATGAAAGTTAAGAACTAAGTAGCGATTGTATTTGTATACAAGTATTGTATTTTGTCAGTTTGTGCGGAAATAACAAAATTTATTCATAAACTACCTAATTCCAATTTGATTTCGAAAAAGCCTGAAACTTAACATGAAGTCTACAAGTTCTTATAGGGTCTGTTCTTTCCACGTCAAGTCGCATTTTTGCTTACCATTGACTGGTGCATCTGTGGCTGACCGTCAGTACAACAGCAAAAGAATATTCAATGAGAGCTTATAAACACATTCCTGCAAGTAGCTTTTTGAAGCGACCATAAGAGTAAAAACAAACTGGCACTAAATACTCTCTGAAAATATGCAGCAAATGTATATTTTGAGGTAAAATCGGACACCAAAAAAAGGTTAAATTATTGCAAGCTTTGGCCGTCCATAGCTGGCAAATATTATGAAAACGGTTGCTTTTCTCATTTCCTCCTATCAATATGATCGACCCCTGTTTGCAGCAATTAGGCATCTGCAACCTTGAAAATCATGTATATGAAGGCATGTATAACATTTAATATATTCACGGTCTGTATAACCGCTATTTCCCTGCATGCAAGTCTCTAGTTGCAAGGTGGTCTAAGGCTGACTTCTGTCTCCGTGCAGCCTATTTCGTCTGAGTTGTCTGCACAATCCCTGAATCCGTCGCATCGTTGACAGCCCAGGATACACATTTTATCCTGACAAGGAAAACTCTGCAGAGGTTCCCCATTCCTTGTCTTCTTGTCCTTAAAATCCTCACGACAGTTTACTAAAAAGATAAAGGGTAAAATGACCAGTCATTGTAACAAGAATAAACTCGCCACAAATTAAACTCTATAAAAAAGCCCGATGCCGGTAAGCCGAGTGAGAAAACACTGGCTACGTATGTTGTCAAGTGCTCTGGAAAACTGAACTTAGAAAAAAAATTATCGTTTGAGTTTGGAATACGAATACTATCAATCGCGATACAGACATTTTTAATATTTGCTGATGAAGAAGATATTGCAAACGTGACAACGGTTCTCGAACTACATCCTCGCGGATGTAAATATGACCATTATTCTTGTAGTGTGCCTCATGGACAGACAGGTCTACAGGTGGCGCGAATCTAGGAGGACATACTTTCATTTCTAGACTGTCCACAGTGCATTTTCTTTCTTCACGCAGCGCCCTCTTTCGTTCACGCAAAATTCCTATGGACCTTTCATTTGCCTATACGGCAGACGCGCACTTTTGCCAACCAGGGTGCAGTGGTTGACCACAATGGCTGGCTGCGAGTACAAATTAAAAGAATAATTCCTAAAGTGTCAGCAATATTTCATGCAAACAACGAAACGCTTAACAACAAACATTTTGACTGAAAACTAACAGAAAATGCTTCTCATAAACATTGGCGGAGCAAATTTGCATTTCCGAGGCAAAAGTTGCCAAGTTGTGAACTTTCCCGCAAACCCCCTTAACTTTGGCCACCCATACAGACCGGGAGGTCAATGTTTGTAAAGAAAAGACGAATACAGAGTTCCATCTTACCTTCATGCTCTGTCTGACAGTGATCCTCGTCTGAAAAATCTGTACAATCCAAAACGGAGTCACACTCATAACGGGTTAGGATGCATTGGTCCCCAGAACGACACCTGTAGTAGGGAAGCTTCCACCTGTCCAGCTGATCGCATGTAACTAAAGAAAGACAGAGAAGGTAAGTCAAACTAAAGTCAAGGAAAAATAAATTCAGTTTTCAGTTCAGGAAAAATTGCTGTAGAACTCTTGGCAGAATTAAGATCTGTCTTAAAACTGCTTGTCAAAATAAATAGCCGGAGAATTCATTAATTCAAGCAACTCAAAGAACTTAGGTTTGAGGAAAAAGACTTTCTCATTATAGGTTCAACTTTCAACAGAATTTGCATCCAATACTGATTACTTACATGCACTGGTTGACGACTTGACAAACAGTGAACAGCAGATGAAAGCGATGACAGATACGATTTCCAACTTCATTTTGACCACTAGAAAAGCTTAATCCTGAAATGACATACATCATTACTGTAATTCAGGTTATTGTTAATAAATGACGTCTTTCATAGAATGAGGCCTTTAAAAGAGTGGGACTTCTCCATTTTACTTAAAATTTTACGTCAAACGCTTCGTTGTGCAAGACTTGCTCCAGTTTGAAAGAACGCTCGTTTAGAGGGAATTGAAAGTAAGGATCCTTTTTCTGCACAGGGAAATTAAATGACCTCTAAGATTATACCTTCGCAACAAACTAGCAAAGGGAAGTTCTCTCAATGTTATCGTGCTGATAAATCGCGATAAATCTTGCTGTGATGACTGGAATCAAACCGAGGTATTCGGGGCTCGTTCTTGTTGTGTCTGTGGTTTGCGAATGGCATCGGAATGTTAAACTTTATATCTATTAAACTTTTGAGTCACGTTGGTAAAATATTTTATCAGCACATTACGATAACAAGACTATCCGTATTCTGACAACACAAATTCTAGAGTCTAAGAATGTTTATTTTATGCAAGAACGCATGCAAAAGCTCTTATAAGCGGATTGATCAAACTAAGAGGATTGGGGAAAGCATTCAATTAATTAAGTTGTAAGTGTGAAAAGGGATTACAAGTTCATTGGAGTACACTGCTCGTTGAGTTGGTTGCCGGTTTATAGTAATCCTTCAGTTATGCTGTGAGACACGCCTTTTGTTTTGTTATGGGTCGACTGTTTTATAGATATTGCTAAATAGAAACAATGTTATGTCATGTTAGGTTAAAAGGAATTTTAAAAGAACTTGAGGGTTTTTACGTTGATGACATGTAAAACCTACAAGTAAACATAATCATATAGGAGAAATAGTATCACTCAAGAGAAGTGTACAGTGTCTATAGCTTACATTTAGATTGGAACGTTTATTGACCAGCCCAGGATGGCTCCGGCCGCAGTCTCACCGCGGCTGTTTAGACTCTCTATGGAGGAATCTCAAACTTGAAGCAATGCCGTAAACAACTGTTAGGCCTCAACTGTCAAATACTTCGGTCACACGTACAATAGACACTACTGCCTTGTATGCGTAGAGCAGAGTGTTTATTAATTTTCTTCAATAAAAAGGGGGAAGCAATAAAACTGAAATAATTGCAATGAATGTGGAAATGAATTTCGAGCGCGATTTGTTCAAGTCTCGGTCGAACAATCTAAGCGCAGTTGTCTAAAACTAAAAATTCAGAGAATGAATGTTTTGAGACGACATTTTACACTTTGGGAGGCGGAGCTTGTAAAGTTGGCAATTAAATTCATAAAAAACTAGGATCCTGGAAAATCAAAATTTCACTTGCACGTTTAACTCCATCAGTGTCGAATTTCTTACCTCACAGAGAAGACGACAATCTTCAGGAGTCGTGGTGTTCAAGTCTTCAAGTGCTTAGGCAGTCAGGCAGTCTCGATGTCCCAACGAGCTATATACTGGTGTCAACTACGCGTGGCAGTATTTATAGATAAACGCTGCAGAGGTCAAACAAAGGCGGATTTTGTCCGACCTGTTACCTGTCCGAGCATTACCTCATTTCCGGTTCGTATTTAAAGTGGGGTACCAGGTTGGAAACACCGTAACACATTCAATGCCATATTCTACGACTAACCTAGTGAATGAATGGCATGATTCGTCATGATTTATTCCTGGGAATATAGTAACGTGACCTCGAGGATATATCTTAGAACACTGGCTGTGGTTGGTGAACGAGGAATGATCCTTCAAAGATTGATAGTTTCGTGTAATTACACGTTATAAAACTAAAGTACGGTCTGTTTCTTAGAGCGCCCAAATCAAGCTATTTTTTACGAGAAACATTTCAATTCAGAATGTGCATCATTTATTAAGCAAATATCGAAACACGGTTTAATGTCTGTTGCCAAGTCATTATCAACATCCATTCTCCTATAATGCGATGGCCAAGCATATGCTCCGAATTGTGAAGACAGGATTGGGATAAGTTTTCAGCAAGACCATCAACTTTTTAAAAATGTGAATAACGATGATTGTTGTTTCCAAAGACCCCAAAACAAAAGATGCATGTTGGACAAGAGTACATTTTACAACGCACATTTTACAACGATTTTCAGTTTGCTTTGCAAACTAGAAGCACGACCTTTCGAGAATTAAAATTCAACCACAGCCACTTCGATAGGACGTGCTATTTGAAGCATGATCGGTTCGTTTGTCTCAGCCATTAAGTTTGTACTCAATCTAACGGACGTTTATTGTTTGCCTGATTGACTGCAAGATGAGGAAAGTCATTGACAACTGCATAATTGGATGAATTGGTTGACTTGTACCCTTTTTTCCACCCATTTTTTCATTTGCCTTGATCATGATAAACATCATAACATCCACACGCCCTAAAAGAGCCTAGGGATGTTACGTAAGAAGTTGCTTCTACGTCGCTTGAACTCTTTCCATTCCTTCAGGCTTTTTTTTTACTAGCAATTAAGTTTATAATATTAGTTTCAAAGTTTGCAAAAGATATAATGCAAACAATTCAACCGAATAACTTACAGATTCTTACTATTTTTTCATTGCATATCTATATCATGTTGCTATTGTTCTCGTCTGTCCAAATTTATATCCTGTTTTTGCATACGTCTTGTATTATAATCGTGTAAAAACTTCCCACCGTTATTTACATATCGTAGAAACTCGAAACTCAAATAGATGTACAATGAGTCTAAATTTCATTCCAAATCCAAAAGTGTCATATGAACAGGTTAGTTGCCAAAAAGTGCATTGCACTGACTCACGATAAGGCAAAACACATGGAATGCCCGGATTGGGATTTCAAATTGGGTAAAGTTGAATAAAACACGCAATGCTGAGCTGATTTAAACATCGTTTTGATTTCGTGCCAAATTTTTGACGATGCCCTAAATCAATAGCGAAGGGTAATGTCTTGTATATCGAAGATGTCACGGGGAATCTATGTGAAGAGGGCTATAGTATTAGTGTGTTATGCGGTCATAAAACAATAAGTTCTTAATCCCAGAACTTGAAACACAGGCGGGGAACTGTAGAAGCTTGTGCGTGGGCAAACGTACGGTATTACACAATAACTGTATTCAAAAACTGCATTAAGTACAATGATCGTCACTCAGAATTATGAAAGTTCTTATTCACAGCAAGTCGAACAACAATTTATCACAACATTCCGTCTATCAGAAGACGGTTGAGCGTGTAATCAAAAGGCTGCATGGTCGAAACGTTTTGACGAATGGCTCTTTTCAGCTAGTACAAAACGAGCTTTTGGGAAATCCGATTCCCAGATTTATGCCACAAAAGAACGACTCTTTTCTACCCCCCATGGGTAAAAGGTCATAGTCAATGATAGTGTCACAAAGAGCGTCAGGCCAAACCACAAACAGGGAACCAGCCACTCTCTTCTCGGTAATAGGATGTTGTTACACGCTGTTCCGGTGGTTGAGTCGGCGGTAAATCATCAATGCCCAGCATGACTGTACCGCATACCCTGGAAAAAACAATTTGAGTTTCCGGATTTTCAGTTATTCCGGTTGACAGCTCAACCAGGGGGGGGGTCGAATAACGATTGAGCCGGATTTTGAGGTGAGAACCGAGATCTCATACACGCTGAAATTCGGTGTATTTTAAACCCTAATCCCATTCTTCATATCACCTCGTAGAATAAACCTTTGTTTTTTTCTGACTTGAACAATTTCTCTGGAATTTCGAAACAGCCTTCAGTTCTCTCCCTCAAAAAGAAAAGCAGACAGCAGTTCCATTGTCCCCAGTTCGTCCATATTTTCTGGGTTTTTTAAAGGAAATTTGCCACCACAAACAAATCACGTCATGACTTTCTATGACGAATCATTTCAGGGAAGTTAAATTAGTGGAGACTCCAACAACATCTGAACACACTTCACATAAAAATTAGTGCCTGTTAATAACAGGTCTGGTGTGTAAAACGAAACGAACAGTCTGCACTGGACTATATTTTCCGAGGATTTTACTGATCCGATGGGAAAATGAAAAATGGGCAAATTTTACCACCGTCCGCACTTGGACTTTCGACGCGGGGATTTTTACCCAGACGCGTGGGAAAAGTATTACCGAGCTGTCACTATAATGGCACATGAGGGCGCTTTGCGTGACCTTTCGTGTTCACCCTTTGAATGAATGATTACGTCGGCCATCCAAAACAGGCACCCAGAGGGTGCCTGTTTGTACATCACTGAACTATTGTGCAAATAACCTTTTAATTTCTTACTAATGTGCATATTTAATTTCCTTAATTTCCCTAAAGGCGTTAGCTCTTGTGACACATACTTTCCTGTTCTGAGTCCACTCTATGGTCGAGTTCGGGCGGCCTGTTCTTGACCGCACGGGTTTCTTGTTCTCGCGCTCGAACGGCGGGAACACGACTCAAGAACACTGTTCTTGGAACAGGATCACACACCACCTCCTCGTCTGGCAGGGTTTTACAGGAACACACGGAAAAACTCGTGAGATTTTGATTTTTGAACAGCTGCACAAGAAGATAGATGGCTTCCAAAGCTATAGACCATAGGAAGTTTTGCAAAATTAACATTAATTATTTTCCGTAATGAATGAATAATTCAGAAATGAATGTTCCTGTTTATATAGAAAAGAATTCAGCCCATCCAAACATCAACTCTCGAATAACGTAGCCTACATGGACGCCGCCAAGTTGCTTGTCACTAACTACCAACCGGTTGTTCGTTCCCGGCGTTCGAGTGGCCGACCCACGAACAAATGGAGCTGTTCGTGAACATACGGGAACAAGCCGCCCAAATTCAGCCTCAGCGATCCTGTTAATTCTGAGTGCGGGGTGCACCCTGGTAATTAGGCCAGAAATATGTCCGCCGAGCTCATTAATAAAAGTTATACACTGAAAATATTCTATATTAGAGGGTCCAGATAGCCATGGAACTGAGGAATTCAAGAAATATGAGACTGGACATCTGGGCCGGACTCGGGGCTTCCAATTCTGAGCAATTTGGATGCAATAGGG